TCAGGAGGTAACTCGTACAAACTTTCTGTTCTCTCCTGCCTCCTGTAACTCCTTTCACTTTCTGTCTCTGTCTCTGCTGCTTTTCTGGCTTACTTTCTCTTCTCTGTAACCGTGATGCTCCCCACGGGGGTTTTCCAGGATGAGGACACCTATTTCCACACTTTCTTCTTATGATGTGAGCGGCTCTCCCCACTGAGGGCTGGGATCTAGAGTTCCTCTTCCTGACTCTGGGCAGGGCTGGTGGCTGCCCTGATCCACGGTGTATGACAAAACAGTGTCCTGTGACATGCTGTCACCTTTCTCACTCTTCCCTCTCACTCGTCATCTGCCCGGGAGCCCAGCAGCCATGTTCCAAGGGGCTTACACTGCATGCAGAGGCTACACGTAGAGGCTCTAGCTGCACCAACCAACAACTGTGGGAATGACAAAGGCTTTCCAGCCTTCAGCCTTGCAGTCTTTGAGCTAAGGACCCAGAAGTCATGGGGCAGAAATAAGCAATTCTTACTGGGCCTTGACTAAATTTCTGACCCACAAAATCTAGTGAGTAATTCTCTTATTAATTATAAGGGGTGATTTCTGTTTTAAGACATTGAATTAGGGGTAATTTATTACACAACAATAAGTAAGGGGCCAAGAATCCCTCTTCTCTTTTGTTCTCTCCCTGGCAATTTCTCTCATCTGGCTGATCTCCAGTTACCCTCTGATCACCTCCCTCCCAAAGTCAACTTTCCTGCCTTTGCAAGCACCCACCACCCCCCACCTGCCACGCTGGCGATTACTCTCACCCATGTTCAGTGCTGTATTCCCACTTGCCTGCTGGGAACCTCCTCTTGGCTACTTCTCTTTCTTGCACAGAAAGAAACCTACCATCTTTCTGCTCAAACTCATTTCTCCTCTTCTGTTCTTAGCAGAGCCAACCTTCCAATTTAGAAACTTTGATCATCACAATGCCTTCTTTTCTATCTGTCCTATCCAACATGCTGCCAAGTGTTACCCTGAGCCTGTTGATACAATTTTGGTGCAAGTAACACAAAAAGCCAGGTCAACGTGGTGTGGCAGTTTGGGTCCAATCAGGAGCTAGGAATAGTGGAATATTAATATAAGTAATCATGAGCTATGATTGAAGAGTAATAATAAAATATCAGGAAACTCTCTATGGCACCCTTGAGCTGAGCGGGAGGACTCAAGGAAGGACAGCTTAGAAGGGTTCAGATCTCATTGGAGAAGGTGGCAGTCAGATCATCAGATAGCAGACTGGCCAAGCTGAAGCTTCTCTGCAGTTGCAGTAGGTCACTCACTGTGTGCAGGTGGGTGAGCAGGTGTCAGTGCCCCGTGGTGTGGTATCCGGGAAGCATCAGGAGAACCTCTTCAGCAAAGTTCCTCCAGAGGGTTTTATACTCTGAAAGCTTAATGTAGTGCTGACATTAAAGGAGAACTACTTAAAATAATTCCTTTGTTTGTCAGAGAGCATATATTGAAGGGTACATTTGGAGCTTAGAGGCAACAAATGAATAACTAACACACATGGCTTACGCGAATTTATTTGTCACAAACCATAAATCCTGTTTCCAGGGTTTTGATGAAGTGGTCAGTGGTGTTGTCTGGGATCCTGAGTTTTCCATCCTTTTCCCACTGTGTGGGCCCTGACTTTCCTCATAGTTACAAGGGGCTCTAGCAGTTGCAAATGCCTTTTATAGACATAATTGCACCCAGTAAAAAAACCAGATTAATATAAAAAAGGGAATTTCCTCCTTCGCATCTCTTTTTATTGGAGAGAAAAGTATCTTGCAGAAGGTCTCAGGAGACTTCCCATCAAGTTCCATTGTCAAGGTTGGGTTGTATGCCCTTGGGAAAGGCTGGGAAGCATGAATACTGCACCTGCAGCCCTGGGGTGGAGGTGAGCCCTGCCAGCACAGAAAGGCGTGGGCGCCTCATGCCTCTGCCCCACACCTCTCCCCATTCCTGTAGCCCACACTTGTTACCTTTGGTAATCACCCAGATGGGTGTTAACCAACTGGGAACTAAGGGGTCTTAGAAAAAACAGTGCTTGCTTTCTTTTTTTTTTTTTTTTTTAAGACAGAGTATTCTTATGTTGCCCTCAGTAGAGTGCTATGGTGTCACAGCTCATAGCAACCTCAAACTCTTGGGCTTAAGAGATTCTCTTGTCTCCCAAGTAACTGGGACTCCAGACACCCACCACAATGCCTCCATTTTTTCTTTGTTCTTTAACAGGCCTGAGCGGGGTTCGAACCCACTTGCCCTGGTGCATGTGGCTGGTGCCCTAACCACTGAGCTATGGGTGCCAAGCCAGGGTAATTTAATGACTTCATGTCTGAATTTCTCAACTTTTACAGAGGGTAATAAAATTACCTATCTTATGGGATTGCTCCGAAGAGTGAAAGGCATAATTCCTGCGAATGGATCTTGACACAGGCTGAGCCTTCAGGATGTATCACTGCCCCTGTTACTATCTTCCACTTCATATCCACCCAAATCTAAGCTTCCTAGCTCATCATTTAAGATCCTCTAGCAGCTGACCACATTAATATTTTTCCACACTTACATTAGAACTGACTCCTAAAATGTGAGAAGGATTATATGCGAAGGATTATATTTTACAAGCCCAGGATAAAGCACAATCCTAGGGGCAAAAGTAGGTGATCTCTATTCCCAAATGACTTGTGCTCAGGTTAACAGCCCTTGTACAGAAATACACCTTCTGTACTGTCCTACCTAACGCTTTGCACTCGCTGGTCTCCTTACCTGGACTGTCCTTTCTCTGTGTCTCCACTGGATATGCAGCTGGTTTTTGACCAATGGATACTGACCAATCTTCCATCTCTTAGGCAATTTCATTTCAGCATTACTGATTTTTTTTTTTTTGCAGTTTTTGGCTGGGGCTGGGTTTGAACCCACCACCTCCAGCATATGGGACCAGCACCCTACCCTTTTGAGCCACAGGCACCCTCCTGATTCTCTTTTGAACCAGTTGTAGCACGTCATTTGTTCTCACACTGAGTTAAATATCTTGGACACATGTTCATTTTACATCTGTATCTGAGTCATGACTGTTTCATCTTTTAAATACTATTCCTTTGCAGCATTTTTTCGTGGCATTACTTTAGAAAGCAGAAAAATGCTGGTCTCCCCCATCCCCAAATTGGTAATACCAATTTTAACTGGTTAACTAACATGTATTTTGTCATTATTAGGGAAATATACTTTGAGACAGAGTGACTATTCTGGTTCAAACTAATCTTCCACCTGATGGTTTTAGTATCCATTGATGACCTGTATTTGTATCAATTTTCACACTGGTGTTGGAAGACATGAACGAACCCTGTCTTGATGCCCACAGCCTTCCATCCCTCTAAGACCCTACACCACTATTACACTATTACTCTTTGGCAGTAGAACACAGTGGCTAAGTAGCAGGCTCTGGGACTGTGTGGCTTGGGCTCAAACCCCAGCCTTTTCATTCATTAGCTGCAGGACTGGCTATGTAATTCCTGCATACTTCAGCTTCATGTCTGCAGAATGGGTGAATAAAGGCACCTCTCCTATGGGATCATGTTTGGATTAAATGAGCCAAAGTCAGTGCCAGAACATGGACGATTACCTGCTTAACAATTGAAAGCTAGTGTTGGTTCAGAGTTATTTGTACACATTAGGTTCGCAGCTTGGCCACATCTCAGAGGTCTCCAAGCAAATTACCCAGTATCTCCACGCCCCAACCCCTCATCCATAACCAAGTGCCCACTTCACAGGTGGTTGTGCTTAGCAGTGTCTGGTGCGGAATAAGCACTGAAAACAGATGTTCTAGTTATTATTTTGTAGCTGTCTCCAAAAGAAAGTACATTTCTTTCTTTCTTTTTTTTTTGTAGAGACAGAGTCTCACTCTATTGCCCTTGGTAGAGTACTGTGCTGTCACAGCTCACAGCAACCTCCAACCCCTGGGCTTAGGCGATTCTCCTGCCTTAGCCTCCCGAGTAGCTGGGTCTACAGGCGCCCACCACAATGCCGGCTATTTTTTGCTGCAGTTTGGCCGGGGCAGGTTCAAACCCGCCACCCTCGGTATATGGGGCCAGCGCCCTACTACTCACTGAGCGACAGGCACCGCCCAAGAAAGTAAATTTCTTAAGTTCAAATCTTTTCATATTCATCTTTTTGCTTTCACTGAGCCTAGCACAGAGCCGTTCACACGGTGTGGGCTAAGTGCCATCTGCGAATGGAATTCCTAAACTTTGCTGAAGGTCATTTGGTAGTTACCCTTGGGTCTACTGTATACTTCATGCATTCCCCACGGCAGGAAGCTCAAGCTTGGAAATAACATTCCCACAGAGGCCATGGGAGGCTCTGACAGGCGGGATTCCGGGACCTGGCTCCACTGGGCAGGGAAGGCCTGGCCTCCTCCCCACAACGGCCCGACGCAGCGCGGCCGCGGGAAGACACCTACTGCTGGGCACTGTGAGCCAAGTTCCCTCTCTCCCTCCCGGTCAGTCGAGGCTGGAAACCTCAGCTCTAAGCTGGGAAGCGCCCGCGCCACCACCCAGCAAGGTGCAGCGGAGAAACTGAGGTCGGGGATCCTCACCCTCCCCCCCCCCCAAACCAAACGCAGTCCCCACGGGGGGCCGAGGGCCTCCTGGAGCACCTGGCGCCGCGCCCCGCCCGCGCAGCTTCCCGTCCCGCGCGTGCCGCGCTCACGTGACCCGAGCCTGGGCGGAGACAGCCGGGCGGGGATCACCTGAACAAGGGAGTCACGTGAGCGGGGGGCGGAGAGGGGGCGGTGCCGGGAGGCGGTCACGTGACGCGGTTCCGGGGCTGCTGCTGTCGCCGCTGCCGCCGCCGCGGCCGTGCCCGTCCAAGCCGCTCTCTTCTCGGTCTCCGGCTCCAGCGCCACCTCCGCCGCTGTCCTGGAGGCGCGACCCTGTCCCAGGCGCGGCCCCCCGCAGTCGCGCGCCGCTAGCCCAGTGCCCGCTGCGCAGCCCAGGCCCGGCGCGATGGGGGCCGCCGCCGGCCAGAGCGTCCACCTGGGGCCCGCGCCCGCCGGCCGCCCGCCGCGCTCCATCCTGCTGCTGCTGCTGCTGCAGCTGCTGCTGTTTGTCGCGGCTCCGGCAGCCAAGCAGGCCGAGGCCGGCGAGTTCCCTGAGTTGTGCAGGTGGGTGGCCCGCCAGGGCGCAGGCTTCGATAGCGGTGGCCCGGGGCGCCCGGCCGTGGTGGGGGGCAGGGAGCGCTCGGGGAGGCTCAGGGGTCCCTAAGTCGCCTCCAGCCCACGCTTGTGCCTGCCTGGTCCCGAGAGAAAGTTGCGTGCGTGCGTATTAGCCGAGAAGTGGAGAAAAGGGGTCCTGTGTGCGCTGGCGGGGGCGCGGGAGGTCGCGCTGGCCTGCAGAGCCCAGTGCCCGGCCACTTGTGGCTGTCACCAAGTCAGGGGCCGCTTTACGTGGGAGCTGCTAGCCGCCCGATCCGTCCGGGTGACGCGCTGCGGGACAGCCCCGCGCCCGGTGCCTTCCCCCTCGCAGCGGTGCTGCTGGGAAAGTTGGAGGAGGCAGGAACTGCAGCTTCGCTTTGTTCCCACTGCGCGTTCTCGTCGAAGTTTCACCGGGGTGGGGGGGCTTGAGTGAGGCCCCTCGTGTGGGAAGATTCCCCAGTGGGTCGGAGCCCACGGCTTTGGGTGTTTTTGGTTTCCTTTGCTGATTGATTTCTTCCACGTGGGTTTTCATTTTCTCTTTAAAGTGGCTGTTTGGCCCTAGGTGACTGTCCCCTTTTTGATTGGAGATGGGATGGCGGTCATTCTGCGTTGACGTCAAGATTTTACTCTTCAGTTCTCCAAGCCCAACTTCCTTGAGTTGCTCACATGATGTCATTGTCTCACGGGGTGAATTATTCCAGTGGAGTCTAATGCTGTGGGAACTGTGGTTGTATAATCATCACTGCCATCGAGGGCTGTTAATGTCCTACAACTATGAGTCCCTGGTCTAGGGAACGTCCGATTCGTGGAATTTTCTGACTAACCTACGAGCCTTCTCTGGACGCTTTAGGATGATGGGAAAATCTAGTTTTGTTTACTTTTTAAACTTTGGTTAAAAAAAAGCACGATGAAAAGTTTCTTCCTTGACAATACCATGTTACTTTTAAGAAAGAAATGAAGTTTAGAATGCAGTGAGCTGAATTTTGAGTTGGTGGCAGGGCTTATGGGGTTCTCCTTTTTCCTTTGTATCAGAGATAGCTGATACACTGTGTTCGGAACTTGCAGAAATTATTATTGTAAGGAGAATAAGGTTATCCCACAATAGAAACTCTTTAGAAATACCTTATTCTTTATTTTCTTCCTTTTATTGGAAGGGGAAGGGCAGAAAGAGTTTATGATACAGTAGTTTATAGACCCGTTAGCTACTTTATGTTACATACTTACTCCACTACCTAGCACAGTGGTTCTCAGCCTTCCTAATGCCTCAATCTACAGGTTGAGAACCACTGAACTGGCATGACACAGAGGAAGGGGGAGGGGGAGAATGTCAACAAGATCAAGTTGAGACATTTAAAGGATATTTTGTTTTAATAGTTGCCATGATCAGAAGCATCCTTAAGAAATTAACTCAGCAGGGCTGCTGGCGTTGAAATCACTGTCTAATTGATAAATTGAAATTCATTTCTTTTTTTTTTTTTTTTTTGAGACGGAGCCTCAAGCTATCCCCCTGG